GGGTATCCCCTTTGGTTGGTGATGATGCATGGAGGGGATTGTAACCATAGCAATGAAACAATATACGACAGGATGAATGTAAAGCCAATGTTCTGCCATGCACACTATCACATAATTCACAACAAACATTTTTTTAAAAAAAGAAATGGGGTGTTTTATCCAACAGAGTCACCAGATGTGCACTGCAAACTGTCAAGAAATCTGTTCTTCCATTCAACCAGCAGGTGAGAACTTCGACGGCAGCTATGGGAGTCCTGGTGTGGTGCTGTGGGTTAATGCACCTGACTGCCACTGCAAGGTTGGCAGTTCAAACCCACTGGGTGCTCCTCGTAAACCCTATACTGGGTTGCTATAAGTCAGCCGACTCAACGTCACTTAACAACCCTGCGCTAAACTGGGGAATCACATCAGAAACACGATGCTGTCCTGAATCTCTCAGGACAGCGCTAGGTTCAGAAAGGAGACGGTGACCTCAATACAGTGCAGCACCCAGGGCCACATTCAGGGGTAGGGACAAGAGGGCTGTCTGAGCAGAAGGTAATGAGCTTGGCCAGGATGCAGGGCCAGTCAGGAGTCGCCAAGGTGCCAAGCCAAGGGTGGGGGTGGGGGGACAAGGGACTTCTGGAAACGCCAGGTGGATCAGATCAGATGTCAGAAAGGGTGAGAGAGATGGGGCTGGGCCAAGCGGGTGACAGTTTGGGTGCTCTCTGGTTCTGGAAACTCAACAAAAGGCAGGTGTAACCCAAGCTTACCGGGTCACATTCAGTGGGCAGTTGTAATTACAGGGCTGCAGATGGGGAGAAAGTTCTGGGTTACGGGACACGTCGGTTTAGGCCGAAAGTGAAAGGGCCCCAGGAGGGTGTACCAACTGAGAAGCAGGGAAGAAGACCAGAGGTTCTGATTTGAATGGAGCTCAGAGTGGATTTGTAGTTGGGACTTTGAGACGCGTGGCCGGGTTGCTCTGTTGGCCGAACAGCCGGCAGCAAAGCTAAAGACTCTGTGATTGCTCAGTGAGTCTTGTCTTTGCAATTGATTGTTCAGGAGGGGACTGTGGAGCCCCCATGAGCTTCTACCCCATCCTATCCTCACCACCACTGTGGCTGTTTCTACAACACACATCTCCACCCAGCCCCCAAGGGGCCTGGCCCAACCCGGGGACACACAGCCACTCCAGCATGGGGGTCTCGGCCCAGGCTGTCAGCCAGCACCTATGCACTCAGCCCCTCAGTCACCTGTCAGCACAACTGCAGTGCCAACATCCTGTGACAGGCACACCCCAACAATGCTTTAGGCTCTGCGCCCATGCTCCAAGACATCCCCTCCAAAGACCACACCGGAGGCAATACTGACACCCCTCCCACCCCACCCTCCGCAGACTTGAGCGCAGTCATGCCGGCTCCCAACCCTTCCCGTCACCTAGAGGACCCTGTGTGTCCACAGCACCAGCTGAGTGAGTTTGATTGATGGCTTATTGCTGATGCGTTTTAGAGATCATGGAGAAAACACTTCAGGGTCTCCCAGGCTTATGTTTTGAGCCCTCCTCCCTTATGTTGGGAATTAGAAGAAAAGGTAAAGGTCTTTTTTCAAAGAGGACAAAATGAGATCAGACAGGAACCTGGTGGAGCAACGGTTTCGTCGCCCACAGGAAGGTTGGTGGTTCGAGCCTGCCCATCAGCTCCGAGGTACCTTCATGCATTGAGCAAGTCTACTGATGCTGTTCTTCCAGCAGCGCGTGCTTGCTTTGTGTCTGTGTGTCCCACTTTGATCATTCTTGCAGCATTCCCAACTTCTTCATCATGCCATTGGACGTTCCATAGGATAATAAGCACTTGACCTCAAAGTCGGTTTACACCGTAAGGTTGGCCACTCCTCAGAAACCCTATACGGGTCACTAGGAGTCTGAACCAACTCGATGGTGCTTTACAACTACACAGTCCAAAGACCACAGTCTAGTGTCAGAGTGGCTTTCATATGCACATGGGACTCAGTTTGGAACCCAGGCCGTCATATCTCCAAGATGTGTCTGTACGGGACAGTCTTCTATTGAAGGAGTTCTCCCTGTGTGGGGCTGACCTGGGCACTGTAGGGTGTGGGGCCCTGAGGCAGAATCATGGCTGTACTTAGTTCACACCTCCAGGTAACCAACAACTCAAGGCACAGGCCTGAGAAGACCCCACATCTCAGCCCCCGCTACAGCTGTAGCAGAAATACTACCACCACCACCGAGTCCCTTCCGACTCACGGTAGTCCTACCGGGCAGAGGAGAACTGCTCTTTAGCGTTTCCGAGGCTGTCAGTCCTTACGGGAGCAGACAGCCTCAGCTTTTTCCCTGTGGAACAGCTGATGGGTTTGAACTACCAACTTTGCGGTTAGTGGGCCAATGCTTAACCCACAGCTCTACCAGGGCTCCTTAGAAATACTACAAGGGGTGCTTTGTCAAACAGAAATGTATTTGCTCACAATCTAGGAGGTTAGAAGTCGGAAACTCAGGAAGCCGGCTCTAGGAGAAGGCTCTCTCTCTCTCTGTTGGTAACTGACAACATGCATGATACAGTCTCAGTGTAGTGGTGGTGGTGGCTGTTAAGTTCTATCAAGTCGGTTCTGATTCATACTGACCCTGTATAGGGTTTCTGAGGAGCGACTGGTGGGCTTGAACTGCTGACCTTGTCGTTCAAACCAACTATGAGGTCGAGTGCTTATCCTACACGCCACACCCGGGACTCCAGGGTAGTGGTTGTTGTTAAGTGTTGCTGACTTGGTTCCAACCCATTGCGACCCTGCGTGGGGTTTCCTAGGAGTGACTGGTGAGCTTGAAGCACCAACACTGTGTTCAGACCAACTTTGCAGTCCAGTGCACTAACCCACAGCGCCACACCAGGTCTCTAGGGTGGTGTGGTCCAGTGGACTTCTTACCCTCCACAAGTTAGGTCCCTGCTCAGCGTCACAAACTCTTCTCTGGCCCAGAGTGGAACCCACGTCCCACCACCTACAAGGTGCTCTCCGAACCCAGCAGCTAACCCTGGATATCTAACGCCTCTGTCTCTTCTCATGACATTTTCCTCCTGATAATGAAATAATTCATCCGAAGGGCAGTGAGTAGGGTTCCGATAACACAAGTGTTACAACCTCAAACAGTGTTACCATTCAGAAACGGGCTGGGAGAGAGTGTAGTCACGTCTCAGCTGAAAATTCCCACACGTTTGCTGGAAACAGGAGATGCTGCGTGCTTCCCCTCACAACGGGCTCTCTGTTCACACACAGGTTTACTGTCGGGCACTTACCCCCAAGGGAGGAGTCAGAG